GAATGGCTAATTTTCCAAAGCCTTTGGATTTTGCAGAAATCCCTCAACTATCAAGTGATGAATTGTGCTGTAGAAGAAGTCACAGCTCGAAGAGATATCTCCCAGTTCAGGACTATCTCTGGGTTGAAATTTTCAATCCTAATCGTGTCGCTGACAAATATGGCACTCAAGGTGCCTACTCTTCTTTCGAGGTCTCTTCTAATGACTTTTCGGAACTCACTATCCTTCGTGGCTTTCGTGGCCGTGCGCGAAGTGTCTGAAGAGGAGCTGTCATTCACTTGGTTTTGAATCTGCTTGAAGATGTCGCGGTAGCATCCCATTAATAACTGAATGCTTTGAGTCAAGAACTTCTTGGCATTGGGTGAGTCGGATGCATTCGATTTCATTACCCAACCACGAAGCTCTTCAACAGCTTTAGAAAATGAATCCGCCTCATCCAGCAGTTCGCGCATTCCTGTGATATCATGAAAATTCATCATGAAAATATGTCAACACGCCTTTTCGGAACTGAAAACTAACCAGGCTCCAGAATTGGCCCTTTGAAAACCTCTTTTTGGAACAAAGTGTCCAAAGTTCAATATAGTAGACTGATCTAGTCAAAAAAAATTTGTCGACTTACCTTTCTCCTCCGGTGATGTGGACCTGAATCCTGATGTAGCTTTTGAGACTATGCTAGTGAGCATGTTGCTAGTCCAATCAGATACAGTCGAAGCAAATGACTCATGGTAATCCTCATGAGCAAGCTCTGCAGCAAGATTTTCAGAGAGTGTATCTTTTGGCATTGCTAAGTTATGGTTGTCAGAATCAGGAATGAAACCAGAATTTAATGGTCAGCTAATTTTAAAGTAGAAAACAATGAAGAAGGAGCATTTACCTGGGACTGGACTAAGCCGACCCGCGGCCAAGCTCACAAGTCTTGTGAAGGCCATGGCATGTATCAGATTCATTTGAGCTGGCCGAGGCATCATTTTTCCAAATCTGAAAGCTTGAAAAATCTTCTTCAAGCAGCCCACAATATTTATCTACAAGAACTTAATAAATATCGATGACTTCGACCCCAGCATCCAGAGAGCCACTGCCAGGCCCCAGCTTCCTTTTTGTAAGCTTACACCAACTAGTCAACCTCGAGTTTGAGCGGCTGATTCCGGCCCGGTAGTTGTTATCTCCTGGTCAGTCTATCAAGAGTAGGCCTCCACTTGAAACTTTGGGAAATTGACAGGAGTTTTGTTATTGCCGGGAGTGATTGAGGGACAACACAACGCCGGCCTTCAATGTTTCACCTGAGGCTGGAGTGGGAGCCTCACCGCGCAGAAAGACTCCCTTTAGATTCGGGTTGTAATGTATCACGCGAGGCACTTTGATCCATTTCTCCTATCCTTGACCGGACGGCTTATCCGAACTAACCGACCATTTCTACTCCTTATGCGACATGTTAAAGACCATAAGCCTTCAGAACTACTAACCTAAATTTGAGCTTGCTGTATCTCAAACCACCTCGGGGTTGGTGCGACCATGCCAAGGGAAAAGAAAATTCAAAGGGACCTGAGCCATCTCTTGCTGTCACGTGCAAATGAAAGTTAGAAGTGCTTGTATGTAAATAGGTACTTCCTATTGTGAAACTGCAACTTGTTTAATTCTCCCGGGCCCAAAATGCCAATCTCAAATGTAGAGCCGGCTTGACGACCAACCCGGCAAGTGCCAACCATTTAACAGATCCAGAAAGAAGCTGGGTCCTTGAATCTCATCCAATGTTGCTTCACTTGAAATTTGACTTCGGTTTCATACTAAGTGTCACCACAAACACCGTTAGCTCAGGTTACATGATCAGGGATTTTCCCGAGTTCTGCTCCCACATGAACTATTGCCTACTAACAAAGAAGTAGAGGTATTGAAGAATTTTCTATGTATATATGTATATATATTTCCCTATTGCTGACTTCGAGCTCAAGAATGCTGAAAAAATTCATGACTTTGATTTAATACACCATCGTCTCTCTGTGATGCTCTGTGATGCCTACCATTTAAGCCCGCTTGGCAATTTAACTTCAAGGGGGAACATGGCTTTTATCTAAAAGTTTCTTGTGATTGATGGAACTCTGACCAGCAATGGTGAAACAGTCCAGACAACTGTGGCTTGTATGCTTCCATTTTGATTCTACTAGAGACCATTTGTAACAGTCACCATCTAGAAGAGGAAAATACCAGAGATACTTCATCTTTTTTTCATAATAACTTGATGAAATTCATGATCTGAAGGATTTTTTGGGTAACTCAAGATGGGGGCAATTGGGTGACACCTTATTGGGATCTGGGAGGTCTGCAGAATCACTTTAGAGGCTTTATTGCTACTGCTAGATTCCCATGAGAAACTCTGGACCTCTTTTGGGTCCAAATCAACATCTGTATGGTGCACGAATGCAAACTTCTTAGGAAGGCATATACTATGAATATTATATCATCTAGCATTGTAAACAAAAAGCTTTGTTGCAGTATTCAAATGATTAACAATTCCATTATCCCAACAAGAAAATTCAGTGTTTTAAGATTTGATTAAGTTCTGTCTTGGACACCAGTAGTTGCAACTCAGCAGAGGTAAACAGTGCAACTGTGATTGGGATACTTGACATGATGAGAGACACTCAGTATAATAACCAAGGTCCTTGACTGGAATTTGTGCAAGGCCAAGAATACACATCACCACAGAAAACTAAGAATATACAGTGATGTACAAATCCAAGCCACATTCACACAATCTTCCATTCATTCTATTAGTTGTGAAAAAAAAAAAACAAATCCTGATATGCGTGGAAAACTAACTATACAGCAGGTATCTATTTACTATACTTAAGGAAGCGAAATTGCTGTTTATCTACAATAGTTGTCAGGTTCATGTGATTGCCAGGTATCTTGGTTATATGAACAATGATTCATATTTAGAGAGAGCTGATGCTGATAGAGTTTTTGGGTAATCTTGGTTTGAGAAGGTGGGGAGGCAAGGGGGTAAAA